AGTCTCACATAAAGTGAGCCCAAAGAGGCCCACACCAAAACATGTCATCAGTAAAATGCCAAAAGTTAAATCAACTAGGATTTTCTTTTCTTTTTTTTTTTTTTAAGGATTTTCTTTTTAACTTCAAATTTGGAAACAAAAATAAATAAACTTAACAATATATCAAATGATTAACAACTGTATTAAAGAAAAATGGAAAAGGAAGAGCTCAAGTAATTTTTATCTATAGTACTTTCATTATCCTCAGTCTGAAAATAAAAGGACAAAAGAAGTGCAAAGAAAACTTAAGTTTGACTTCATAGGTTAGTAGGTTTATTGTATTTTTAAAAATATATATATATATTTTTAGAAATATATTTTATTGATTTTTTACAGACAGGAAGGGAGAGAGATAGTTAGAAACATCGATGATGAGAGAGAAACATCGATCAGCTGCCTCCTGCACATCTCCTACTGGGGTTGTGCCCGCAACCCTGGTACATGCCCTTGACAGAATCGAACCTGGGACCCTTCAGTTCGCAGGCTGACACTCTATCCACCAAGTTAAAACAGTTAGGGCAGTAGGTTTATTGTCAATAGTAATTTTGAAGGAAATTTATGTGCACTGTAGAATTGAGCAAAGGAATAAATATACTGAGCTTCTTGGGGAGCCAGGTTTCTCATGGTGAGAGAAAGGAGCTATAAATATAAAATGGTGAAAGGCAAGAATGATATAAAATGGCTATTTTTCTCACTCTGTCCACTGGCAGGACATAAGCAATGACACCTTCGTGGCAATGAGCACAGCTCGTTTCCAGATCTTGAGTTCTATTATCACTCCCCATTAACAGGGGTCCTTAGTAAAATGACTCCGTTCAGGCCTAGGGCTGGGAGAGTGAGCCTAGACCATGTTGTGCCAGAAGTAAGAATGTGCTCAAAGAATGACAGGCACAGAAGCCAGCTTGAAGGAGCTCCCACTGGCCAAATCTAGGACAATCTGAACACCAAAATAAATAATGATAGTAATGGATTATAGTCCATTGAATAAAATCAGAATCATGGATCCATTTTGACAGAAGTAAATAAATAAACAAGGGAGCAGGGAAGACCCAATAGTAAAGTGTTAACTAATAAATGCAGAAGGAATGATACCAGTATGGCTCAATTGGTTGGAGTGTCATCTGGTACACCGAAGGTGGTGGTTCAATTTCCAGTCAGGGGACATACTCAGGTTGTGGGTTTGATCCTCAGTCGGGTTATGTTTGGGATGTTTCTATCTCCTCTCTCTCTCTCTCTCTCTCTCTCTCTCTCTCTCTCTCTCTCTCTCCCCTCCCCAACCCCTTCATCTCGCTGAGATCTTCTTTAAAGAAAAACACACCACTACTTGACAATCATAATAATTTTATTCAGGTAGAAGCCATCAATGTACTATAAGGAACAGGATATTCACATAGCTTCAGATAATCTCACCACAGGTTTGTCATTAATTACAAAGTAACTAAGTAAAGAAATTTGGAAGACATGTCCAGGACTTGGTTATCAAAGTTAACATCATCAATATGGGAACAAGTCACAATTGCCTGTCAACCGATAGGATCAATGAAGAAATAGCATCACTTCTGGGGTATTCCTGCTACCTATGCATAACCTGAATCTAATGAAGTATCAGATGAATACAAATTGAGGGACATTCTACAAAATAATTGGCTCTTTCTCTTCAAAGTGTCAAAATTGAGAAGAACAAAGGAAGGGGGATTAAGACTTATACACCAATATTCATTTATTAGTTTTGACAAATATATAATGTATGATGTAACTATTAAAGGAAGCCAGGTGAAGGATATACTGGGACTCTGTATCTTTGCATCTTTTCTGTAAATCTCGATACCAAAATAAAAAGATTAATTTTTTTTAAGTAAAAAAAAAAGACTGATACAGATGAAGGAAGGCTGAAGACACATGACCACTGAAATGCAGCAGGTGATCCTGGACCTGAAAAATCCTTACTACAGAAGACAAGTAGGACAACGGGTGAAATCTGAATGAAGTCTGTGGGTTGGATAATAGTGTTTTATCAATGGTAAGTTCCTGATTTTGAAACATTTGCATTGTGGTTATGTAGAGAATGTTCTCAATTTTAAGAAATACGGAAGTATTTAGAGGTTAAAAAAAAGAATCTGGAAAAAAAAAAAAGAATCTGAGCATTTCTCTCTGCCTGTACAGTTACTATCCTGCTCCAAACCACCATCATCTTTCACCTGTATCATTTTAATAGTCTTCTAACTGGTATCCCTGCCCATGCCTCTATTCAGTTTGTTTTCAATGCAAGAGCCATAATGATTGCTTAAAACATAAGTTAGAGCATGTGACTTCTCTGCTTAAAATCCTCCAATGGCTACCTAACCTACTTAGAGAAAAGCCAAAGTCCTTAAAATATCCTGCGATGCCCTGCACAATCTGGCTTCTGGTTACCTTTCTGACTTCATCGGTTTCTACTCTTTTCCTTGCTCATTACACTCCAGCCACACTGGCCTCCTTGCTGTTCCTAACACACCAGGTACAGTGTACCCTCCCTCAGCCATCCCCTCTGTCGGGGTCATTCTTCCCCAGGTAGCCACATGGCTTACTCCTTCACTTCAGATTTTTATGCAAATGTTTTCTTAGTAGTGAGGCTTTCTCTGATGGTCCTATTTAAAATTTCAACCCCTTCCCACCTCTCTCCCCTTTCAGTTTTATTGTTATTAACACTGATCACTAGCATCTGTATATTTTATTACTTATTTATTGTCTACCTCCCTCCTAACCAGAAGGTAAATTCCAAGAGGGCACGATGTATGCCTTTTTTGTTCCCAATGTATCTTCACTGCCTAGAACAGTATTTGACATATAATTAGCTTTTCAGTACGTATTTGTTGAATACATGAATGAAAGCCAAGGTGTTAACTTCAGGCATGGTTTGATGTGGATTCTCAGCATGCGCCTAGGACTTTGTCTTCACGTCTTAGCTTTGCTTTCCTCCGCATTGGCCTCATGCTCAGGCTTGAGGAGCGCTGGGTGGTGGCCTGGTGGCCACCAGCAGCTCCAGATTTACCTGCTAACCAGCCAGCAACCCCATTGGAAAGAGAGTGCCTCTGTCTTGATGGCTCCAGTGAAAGCCTTAGAAATGAGTCATATTCTGGGTGTGGGTCAAGTGTCAATTCCTAAAACAATCTCTGAAGGTAGAGGAAGAAAATCCCGTGACTGGCCAGGCCTGAGTCATGGGGGCCCCTGGGGTCAGGATGAAGTTCCGTTCTAATGGACTGAGCACGGGGAAGAGGTGGTTCCCTGAAAGGAAATGGAGCGCTCTCGCTGGAGGAAGAGGGACGGAGGCCCGGCTGGCAGGAAAAACAGAGGTCCCTCCCATCACCGGGAATGACCCACCGTCAGTCTTAGCCCAGAACAGCGTTCCTCTCTTGCCCCTCCAGCTTCATATCCAGCCATATCGACCTCTGCACTGTGCTGCGGTTCTCTCCTAAATGCCTTTCCACCTGTTTCTGTCGGTCAGCGTCTTCCTCATCCTCCAGCGTCAGGTTCAGATATGATCTCCCTTATGATGACTCCTGACAGATGTACTCTCTCCCCCTAGTTATTTCTACTTCTCTTGTAGTTACCTTTTCATACTTTGCCCTGTATTTTACTGATTTGTATACCTTGTGA